TCAAACAATTTTCCGCTTTGACATGAATCTAGCCACTTAATTAAAGAATTACTCAGTATATGCAATATACATGTAAGAAATTCTGGTATATTTCATAAAAGCTATTTCAAGGTCTCTTGTGAACAACCATAAGAATTTAAAAAGTCAAATATAATATCATATGTCGTTAGGGGTTAACATGTAAGTAAGATGAGCATTCTCCTCCGCCTCATTTAATACCAAGGTGTGGCTTTTTCCACAATCATCCCTCAGAATTTTACTCAAGACCGACACTAATAACACAATATTCTTCAAAAAGTTGTGTTTCAGGATGCTCGTTTGGAGTACCCTAATCAAGCTTATTATTAACTCTAGAAGTTTACCATTTCAACAACTACACTTGTTCCGGTCTTTCCAACTTAAGACTAAAGACCAATTCTCATTATAAGAAAAGGACAAAATGAGAAGTTTACAACCAGACTCTTCAGCTCAAGTCTAGAGTTAATAAATAAAAATATTATTTGTTTGGGGGAGAAAATACAAGAACTATGTAATCCTTCAGCACTCCAAGGATCATCCTCACTGCTTAAGATGTAAAGCGGAAAAACAAAAGAACAAATAAACAAAGACACTCACATTGTCCGGATGCCACGCAACACTGGTAACAGATGAGCTATGCTTTTTCCTGATGAGCTTACTGACCCACCTGAAGAAAAAGTAATATCAACAAATACAAGGTCGGCAACATGATTAAGAATACGACCACATAATATACTTTTAAATTGAATAAATATTTTCTACTCATGTACTTCCCATGAAAAGTGGAATACTGTCAAGGAAATATAAAGGCTAAACTACATGCAAATACCTGAAGAATCTGTTATCGGTATGGTTTTGCACATCTAATGTAAAGACATCTGTTACTTTCTAATTTTTAGGATTAGATTTCTCAAATATTAAGTTAATTTTGCCTATTAAAAGGTACAAGCCTTCTTTAGTAAACAATAAACATTGAATTATAATTTGATCAATGAGAAACAACCACTGATTGGTGATTGTTAGGTATGAAATCCTATTTAGAGGTTTGAAGGCTTTGATGGGGTGAAGTCGACACTAAGGTGAAGCCTATAATCAAATCCTATCTTCTTTTCTTGCCAAATCTCCACAAAAACCCTAACCGGCATCTACTGCTCAGATCCTAATTCCCGCCAAATCCATACACCACCGACATGCCTGTTGTTGTATGCTAAAGAGACAGTTCATTGCAGATGGATTGACCAACGTCCACCTTCCCCCTGGTCAGTAGGTACCTCCTCTATGATGCAAGGTATATCTCATAAAGGACAGATTTGCTGGATTTTTTTTTTAATTCCCCCCAAAAGATGTTCAAAGCTCCAGATCAGTTTACATTCTTTCATTGCGGATCACCTCTACCAATACGAACCCAAAACTATCCAGAAATAAAATCATATTGCCAATATTTAACCGGAACCAATCAGATCCGAGATTATGGGGGTTGTTTGATACTATCTACCTAGCAACATAAGAGGAAACGACTGATACGTATCAGCAAATTTCCCATCCTTTGGATATATAAATCTGGCGTTTAGAATCTTTCGATCAATGTTTTTGCAATGATGTAAACTATAAATTTGCATATTTATCTCCATGGCTGGCATCTTAGTGGCTTACTAAAGTAAACACCCAAATGAAATCACCAACAATCATGAAACAAAATCATTATCAAGCATAACACTAACAATTATGCAATTATGCAATAAAAATAAAGTTGAAGCAAAGAGATAAAACCTTTAAGAAATCCCTAAAATTTCTTTTTTTTTCATAATTAGTCAGTCTTTTTTAAAAATCATTCGATGGCTTGACTATAATAGATAATGCTGCTGGCAGAAACATGAACATGATTTAACAGACAAAAAAGCAAATTAGTGGAAAATGCTCATGACTAATAGTTTGTCAGCTTAGTTAACTACAACATGCATACTGAAAATGTCAGCAACATATTGAAAAGTTCAATACCAGTTATTTTCTTGCTCGTAATAACAAATGCAGACAGTCTTTGCACCGCTTCCAACAGCAAACTTGTTCTCTGGAAAGACATCCCATTCAATAATAAAATCAAGGGTTAATAACCAGATATCTGATTTCAACAAGCGTGTCTTAAAGGATATTTCACTTATGTAAAGGATAATCGCGGTTTTATTTGAATGTTTTATGATCTCATAATAAAAGGTTCTAGCTGTATTAATTTAACATTCTGGATATCTTTACTTGGCTCAGTCGTCTGGATCCTTCTGCCTCATTAGTGTAGAAGACAACATATCCTGAAAAACATAATGACTTTTTTTCTCTCATCCATAATTTATTTCTATCTCTAACAAATCCAGTCACTTTGCATCTTTATCAAACCGACACCTACTGATGTACATATGAGAAAGAAGAAAGTAGATATACACATCAAACAAACCCCACAAATGGAACTGTGTGAATTGTCGCAATTAATTCTTCCCAGATAGTGTAAAAGTATCCGTGTAATTTAACTGCATATATCCAGTATTGTGCAAAAGAAAGAAAGCAAGATGTAGACAATTAAATTTATCATACTGTAAAAACAGTTACAAAGTGGAATATTTTGTGAATCATAATAGTAGGATAAGCACTTATCCTAGAGATTCAAGGACAAGTGCTTGTGAGAATATTGGAATAGCGGGCCTATAACTGTGTGATTGACTATCATTCTTAATTGACATTGAAGAAAGAATGGATCAAGCAAAGGATTAGTTTCATTGTGGAAGCAAATAGCAGCAAAGTAGTATAGAAAATTGTAGGAGGGATAGATGAAGGTACATGTAAATTTCTTCTAGTAGGCACTATCTGGAAAGGCACCATTATATTATAGCTTCTATCGACTATGAAGTTTCTATAGTCATACTGTGAGCACCTAGGCTAAAGCATTCAGTGTTACAGTCACACACAGCAAAACTGACCATAAAACAAGGAGGTGTTGCAAAATTTATCGCCACGTCAAAGAACTTTTCATATGTATGGACTGCCACCAAGCCAATTTCATTAATACCTTTAGGACTCCACTGCACACAAAGAGCAGCGCGGTTAAGTCTGAGAATGACAAGTGTTGGTACCCATTCAGATGACTCTTGGCTCCAAACATATCTGGAAAGTTAAAAATATCAAAGATGCCAAACCTGGAATTTAGAAATTCTAATTAACCAAAATCATATATTCCTCTGCCATGAGAAACAAAACAGACAAGTAGTAACCAAATAGATACTCACGAATTCCGATCATGTGAAACTGTAACTATTTTATTAGATTCCACGCTCCAGTCTATTCCTGATATAATTTGATCGTGCTGTTAGATGTCAATAAACGGAGAGAAGAAAAATTAGAAACATGATAACTCATTCAGCCATACAGTGCACACAATGATAACAAAAGTAGAAATACGCATCAGAAAATTTCCGATATCCAGATCAGATGGGAAATTGTCTCACAATGACAAAAAGGAAACAAAGAAGACAGTAATAAGCTGGAGAACAGACATGTACAATCATTTGTTGGCATGTACATGCACATGTATAGAGTTGAGTTAGGCTACTACTATTGATAGTATCTAATGTGGATATCAGCAATGTAAACCTAAAATTTTGATTTCCAAATTGAAAATTCGTACAATTGAACGTGATGTAATTCACATGGACTATTTAGAGACAATATTTCCAATAGTTTTGATGAGTTTGTAATCATGTATCAAGGGGCGAAAATTATGCAATTTACAAAAAAATTGAAACATTGATTTTGACAGCATATAGTACATAGATAAAATATGTCTGAAATCCTCTGAAAATTTTGAAATCTAAATCTTACTTTGATATCCACATTTAGATACTATTAATAGCATAGCTCAACAATGCACACATATATCTAGCGTACAGCTCCTGCAAACTTAAGTGGACTGAGGGCTTTATCCACCAACTATTTTTATCTATTGGATTTGCTTTGAGGTGTGTGCTTATGTGATACACATCAAGGCACACATCTCAAAGATAGCCTTGACATGCATCACACATCTACACGAATCTCAAAACAAATCCAAGGGGGTAAAAGTGTTGGTGGACAGATTCCTCAGTTTACTTAAATGTACAAGAGATCTACTCCTCTATACTTATGGAGGATCCAAAGAATCATTGTTCATGCTACAATAACATTCTGTAATATGAGCATTAAATCAAATCTGCTCCTCCACACTTGTAATATTGTTTATGCTACAATAGTTTACTGTATCATAAACAGTGAATCAAATCTGCTCTTCTACTTGAAGTTACTATTCATGCTACAATTTTATTATATCATAAACAGTAAAGCAATCAAATGTATCAAAACTTGGATCCTCCTTTAAGCATGGAGTAGATATGATTTCTAAATCAAATATATTAAAACTTGGATCATTCTTTAAGTATAGAGGAGTAGATATGATTTCAAATTATAAGCATACAATAATCAAATCAAATGTATTAAAACTTAGAGGGAGACAAGTTCAAAATGCAGTGCTTAAAAAAATAAGGGGTCGTGCTTTGCACGGGGTGCACACTAGTATATTCTATGTACTAACTATCCTCTTTCAATGCACGGGAGTTAGTATTCCAATATTATTGTAACAATTTATTGCAATATTCCAATTTTGATAGTTGCATATTGCTTGCACTACTATAACTTTTTAGTTCAAATAATAGTTACTAAACTAGTGCATTAATCAATAAATAATTAATATAGAGATATTCAAAGAGTCAATTGGTTATTAATGACCTTTCATATTACCATCATTGTCACATTATTTATTTATTTCAATTAGTAACAAAATAAATTTGGAACTTGTTAAACAATAGAAAATTGTAGATTCTCATTTTATTTATCTAAAGCTACAACTCCTCCACTTTATATAGGGATACAATAGCAAAGGTTTTCGTGTGTAGGCAATATGAGACTAAACTCAATTGCCTAATCACAATTATTCTTCTAATCATATTCTTAAAACCTCTCAATCACTAAATCTCTAATTTATACTCTTAAAATATATTTCTTAGCATTATTTATCTCCTTAATTACTTCTAACACAACTCTTAAGAAGTTGCCAAGTGGCAGCCAAAGAGAGAGAGAGAGAGAGAGAGAGAGAGAGAGAGAGAGAGAGTAAAATACAAGAACCAACTCTGTTTCATATTTAACTATACAGAGAACATTATCGGACATATTTGATCAGACTTGACAATAACTGTTCACAAAAAGAAACTAGCCTTGCAGATTAAAGTTTAAACTCAAATTCTTGTTCAATTTACGCCTATATATTTGTTAAGAAATGCTTAGATCCTCGCTCCATATTGGAGTTGAACTCTTGCTTGATTTGTACTGTTACTATGTTCATATAAATGATAATGATTTTATAGATCCTTATCAGTGTCATATATTATTTAGCTGCCTAAGATGAACTGTAAGTAACCTAGGACTGCTTTCAGAAAATCTCCCTAATAATGACCTGTTGTGATCATTAACTTTCCTTGTGCGGAAAAAAATGTGGGTAAACATGGTGAATGTCTCAGGATTATCATGACTTTTTGCCTCCATCAATTTATGCATATGAATTATGGATATACATATGTATAAGAAATAAAATATAAATGAATATAGCATATGCAGACTTCAAATTGGTTCCAAATCTTATTTATCTGCATCAAGTTATCTATCTAATGTGACAGTAAGGGCATTCGGGCCTGCATCTTCGCTAACTTCGAAAATCCTCCAACTTTACTTAGCAAACAACGTAGTCCAACAAAAACAATAACATTCTGAGACAACAATAGATGATCCTCTCATAAAATTACCAGAGTTTCTAACATAATTTCATGTTAGTAATTTGTCTGATACCTTAAATTTATTAACAACTTAATAGAAACAAAGAAATTATAGCAAGCAAAAACATGCGTTGTATACCACCCGAAAGCAACAAGATCTTTAAAGAAGAGATGAATTCAGATACTGATCACTATACGGAGGTTCTTACGATGGCATATAACATAACGTAAGACTTCAGATAGCACTGATAGAATCTACCTTGTAAAGAACGTGCACCTTTTCCCACTTCTCTTGTGAAAACTTGTAGATATGAACTTCAGTGTTGTTTGGACAAATTGCGACCACTGTGAAAAATAAATAATGTGTGACAGGATTCTCATGATTAAGTTGTCCATTCATTAGATGTCACTAGAAGCACCAAATACAATTTGATACAGGAAAAACTTATCATTTTCTCACAAAATTGACATCGATCGGAAACAAAAAAAATGAAGTGCTACCGCAATCAAATCTTTCCAATATACAACTATACAATGCATAAAATGTATCTTACGCATGCGAAAAAACGTTAGTAAGGTAGTCAGGAAGAAGGTACAAAGCATGCAACATTAGAAGGTACAAAGCATGTAACATTACAAGGTACAAAGCATTTTTTGCACATTTATTCCAATTAATGCATTACTTTATTGAATTGTACATTAATCCTAAGAAAATTAAAATTTTCTTTGTAACGCGGGCGCTAATTGCATGGGTATGGCCATATGGGTATGGTATGGGTACGGGTAGTGGTATGGGACAAGGCAAATTTGTAAAAAGTAGGGTACAAGGACAACGCTCTATATATAGACGCACGCACGCATGCACATATATATAATATTTATGTATTAAAATTATAATGTACATAATAAATAAGATCAATGTTGTTTTTTCATTTATATAAGATCAATATATAAGAAATAGATGTGAACTATAGGATATACGTCCAAGAAGTGTAGGATTGTTTTAAATTAAAACATGTATTATATAGATGTTCAAGAAGTGTCCAAGAAGTTTCAGTATGGTGCGGCCGAGCAGGTAAGTGGTACATGTCGGGTACGAGTACGGCTTCCAATGGAAGTACCCAGGTAACATAGCACAGGAGGTTGAATCAATCCTTACGCTTTTATGAATAGATCGGTCCTAAGAATTGACGAAGGTCAAAGAATGAGGTCTAAATTGTGTTTCTATAATCAAGGAATCTTTATTATGGTAACTAGAATTTGTGTGGAAATCTGCCCTTACATCGAATAGAGTTAGAGCTTAAGTATTAGTAAGATTAAGCTATCATTTTTATGTAAACTGGAAAACTGGGGAAGAATTTAGCTTAAGTTAGTATTTATATCTATGCCAACAACAACAAATCTTGTATCCCCAATCTTTTCGTGTTGGCGACATGAATCCTATTCTACCATTCAATTTGTTCAGATATACCTCCTCCATTTAGTTAACCACTATCATATCCTTCTTAATTGCTTCCAAGGAAGTTTTCTTAGTTCTACCTCTAGTTGTCCTTGTTCCATCAGTTATGATCTTATACCTCTCCTAACCAGTGAACTTTGAGGTTTCCATTGCCCATTGCCAAACCATCTCAATCATTTTCTATCATTTTATCCTCAATAGAAGCAACATCTAACCTACAAATGCACTTCCCTCCCTTCCTCTCTCTCACTCTCCCCTTCAGAAAACAACACTCATAAAGTTAATGATCGCATCTTATTAATGCTGTTCGCAATCACTACAGCAACACTATTGGTCTCTATGGCCAAAGAAAATTTCATTGAAACCCTACACTTTGGTTCTCACAGTTTTGAATTTTCTTTCTGACTCATATTTGATTATCAAAGAATGTCGCCTTCATGGTAAATTTTAAATATTTTCCATCCTCTAGTATTTCTCTTATTTTTAAGTTATTTTCCTTTTGGGCTTCTCTTTCCAGGGTTGGATATCTCATGCAGTGTCCCATGTACTAGGTTCTTCTTGTTTGTGCGTCGTATCTGTGCTTGACCCGACACGTATCGTTGGTCCTTTAGAGTTGCCAAGATCAGATGTGATTGTCATCTTCAGACAATAGTAGGGTTATAACCACGAAAGGTATAAAAATGTCATGAAATCTCAATTAAAACATACATAATGTCATAATCAGGGCTGTTAGATTCTAGGTTTTCTAAAGCAATTCGTCTACTTCTTAACTAAATAAGATATAACCTGGATCTCAGCAGTCGGATCTAGAGCAACGAAACGAATTCACAATCTCTGGCGACTAGTTGTGAGATCTAAGTAAAAAAAACGACAAATCGAGGGTAAATTAGAGAGGGGGGGAGAGAGGGATTACTCGTTCGGTCGGGGCTCCAAGCGTGGCAGGTGATGCACTGAGCGAACTGATGGATCGAAACCGCCGCCATTGATTTCGTCTTCTTCGTTGATCTCGTTGATTTCGATTACTAGGGTTTTGGATTTTGAGGTAGAGGAGAAAAAAAGGGAGGGAATAGATGCAGACGGGATTAGGAGCGAGATACTAATCTTAGTTGTTGGGGAAGGATAAATATACTTTTTAACTCGACCTTTTGTTTTAGTGGTAGGGAAATTTACGTTTAGGTCCCTCAGCATTTTTTAAAATTTATGTTTTCTCCTTTGTCTCCGTGGTTTCTTTTTAGGGGCTGTTTGGTTATTTTCTAAAAAACCAAAAAATAGAAATGCAAACCAAGAAAACTCAAAAAGTACAATTTCATATATTTACATTCCTAAATCTCACCCACAACATCTAATAAAATATTATTTTTATCCAACAACTCATCCATCACATCTAATAAAATATTATTTTCATCCAACAACTCATCCATCACATCCACCATATCTAATAAAATATTATTTTTATCCACACATCATTCAACTCATCTCATCTTATATTTAAAAATTACTCACATCATCCAATAAGATTGTGACAACTCATCTCATCTCATTAACATTTCATTTCTTTGTTTTCCTCCCAAAAAGCTAGGAAAACAATTTCCTTAAGTGTAGGTCACATCATCCAATAATATAATGACAACTCATCTCATCTCATATATTTTCTTATTTTTAAGAAATAACCAAGCAAAAGAAAACAACCTATTACAAAGAAATAGGTTTATTATAATTTATTTCATTATTTTTTTCGCCAACCAAACAACATCAAAACAAGTTTTCTTAAAAAATCACTCACATCATCCTATAATAAGGTGACAACTCATCTTCATTTCTTTGATTTCCTTCTTATTTTAGCAAACCAAACACTCCCAAAATAATAAGGTGACAACTCATCTTCATTTCTTTGATTTCCTTCTTATTTTAGCAAACCAAACACTCCCAAAATAATTCTTTGATTTAATAGTTTTCTATTTCTTTGATTTTCAATTTTTTTTAGGCAAACAAACAGGCCCTTAGACCAGGGAAGAAAATTACCTATCACTATTATTTAAGAAAAGCTTTTTTTGTTCTTTTTGGTGTTCTGCCCCAGTGTGAGTGACGAATTCAGATAATTTCTTGGAATGTCCTTATTTACGTATGGTTGAATAATCATAAAAAGGATAAACTTAGAAAACTCAAAAAACTATCATTTTAACATTACTCATCTCATGTTCTATCATAACTAGCCTTATTAACTATAACTATCTTTAATACCCCCGCTTACTCATCCATCCTTCAAACTTCTCATCATTTTTCACCCAAAAGGTCCAAGTATATATGCAAGAATCGCATGCACGAGAAATAATAGTGATGTGAAAATAAGTGTACGCTTCATCCATCTATCTATAACAATAATGATTCAACAAAGCTATAGAGATTCCTAGATAAATAAAATTCGACATTGTGCACTGATCCAACGGTTATTATTCATTTGCCGCATCATCATTAGTGTAACGGACGGATCGCACTAGCTAATTTTCTCTATAACCTTATGCTTCTACTTCACTCCTCTGTTATCTTCACTCTTCTCTTTTATCTTCTCCTTGGCTTCTATATCGTAAATTTCAATGAACTATTAGAAAATAACCACAGACTTTTTGTAGATTCTGGATATGAATCACTAAAGCCTCAAAGCACAAGCCGCACAAATAAAACGAATTTTGTTTCAGATGTCAGATGCCTAACATCCAATTAACAAATTTGTAAAATGTAACTTTGAGGTGAATGAATGAATAAGTAATTACACATTTGGTAAGTGAATCGCTAGAAAATCAATGCTAATTTGAGCACCTATTGCTGTGCTTTTTCGGATTCAAGGAGCGTCACAGATGTATTTAATTAGTTAAATTACCAAATTAGTATTTTTCGTAAGTTTTTTTTTTCTCTCACGAACCACCTTACATATAGGGTCATTTACACCAACCACCTTATGTTCGTAATTTACTAGTATTAAGCATGTGCGTTGATGCGGACATTATTTACTATGTATATTTATCGCCGAATTGATAATAGGGTTTTTATATATAACTATTTATAAAAAAATTAGCTACAAATTTTTTTACTACTATTTATAGAGTGAATCTCCAAACTAATAAATAAAATAATATACCAATTAGCAAGTTTATCAATTTTCTATAATAGAGCCAGGAAAAAAAATATTTGTGAAATGTCTGATAAAGATTAAAATCATCATCTGCAAGAACAAAACAAAAAAGATATGAACGGTTGTTATGGTGTTTTCAGCTAAATTGTGGCTTTTTGCCATCAACGGACAGGTGTCCCCCAACATGCACCATTCAAATCAATTTAACAATCAGGACTGCCAGGATCCCGACTTAGCCGAGTCGTCGTCTCATTGAGTTGACTCAAATGGCGGTATTTGTCGGTCCTCTTATCGAAGACGACTCGTTGCGAGTCCACTCGACCAGTTATTCAACATCTCACGGGGTCGACTCGAAAGGCGTTACTTCTCGACACCCTTCGTTACAAGCCAAAAGACGACTTCAACCTCGAACCCCCCGCTGACTGTGTGTTGACGTCACATTAAATGCTTGGCAGACGCCATCATTTCTCCATCTTCGATACTATTTATGACACATCGGACCACACCGGCTTCGTGCACCGCCCATCACATCTCATTAATGACGAAATGACAGCGTCCATCCGGTGGCCGATCCACGACCGACACATGTAAAGTAGACGCTAACTCAGCCGTCAGCTCAGACTCGGCCAAAAAGACTAGACTACTCCTCTTGCATGGCTATAAAACGGAAAAAATATTCCAAATACAATGGTAAGCAATTTTCTTAGCATTTTTGCTCCATTCCGTTGCGTTTTCTTATATTCCCACTCAAGTACCTAGCTGACTTGATTGTCGGAGGAACAACGGGGGAACCAGTCCCTATCCTTTTACGAGTTATTACACGTGCAATAACGAACAAACCCAACTCCAAATCAAATATTCGAAAAAGCGAGCGGCCCCCATATCAACTCAGTTCCTATTACCTTTTTTCCTGTGTGATTTAAACCATCAACAGTTTGGCGCCCACTGTGCGACTCTTTCTTTTTTGAACAAATATGTCTAGTTTTGAGTATAGGGCTGATCAGTTCATTCTTGAAGGACCACACCAGAGCTACTCAAGCTCAGCTTGAAGAAACGGCTCAGAAAATCTCTTACCCTCCAACAACAACTCTCTACCTTTACTAGCGAGCTTCTCAACCAATTTCCACAGTCGCAGCAAGCTACTTCCGCAGTCCTTCCGCCTTCTGGAGACCAACGATCGGGAACTCACCCCCCTTCTGAAAGCTCAGCATATAGTTCTGCCACGGACTCCTCACGCTGCTGCCAAACAGTTGAGAAATCACGTCGAGTGGGCGACCCCACCACCGCATTGGTCGACTCACCTCGTGGAACCGCGCCGACACCTCCTCCCTACTTCTGAAGCTACCGGCGAAAGTCCTGGTCCTAGTCGCCCTAAAGATCACACTAGAGGAATAGTCTCTTAAGAATCTCCCCCACCATTGTACCTCTCCAGCCCTCTCTGCCACCCAGGGGGCATCCGGATACGATCGGGTGTACGTATTGATTGCATAAGCCATTAGGAGGAACACCCCCCTTTCCAACGACCTCATGAATGGCCCGTGTGAGAAGTTCAAGATGCCTTACGTGGAGAAGTACAAGGGCGAAGGAGACCCCTCCGAGCACGTCCAGAATTATTACGATGTAATGAGCATGCTCCAAGCTTTGAAGCTGTTATTTGCCGATGCTTTCTTATCACTCTTTCAGGGAGCACCAAGCTCGGGTAGAACGCCCTTGAAGAAGTCCATCAGCGGCTTCCAACAACTCAGCCGGAAGGTCATCCATCACTTCTTGGCTGATACCAAACAGAAGTTGCCCTCTCATGTGTTGATCCAGATAAGGCAAGAGCCCGGAGAGAGTCTTCAAGCCTACTTCAAGAGGTTCCAAGCAAAGAGGTCTAGAGGTCAATGACCTAGGGAGTGTGGTTGCTATGTTCGCTCTTGTAGCCGGCTTGCAGAATAACGAATTGGCCTGCAGAACAACATGTTAGTGAAGAAGGCTCTGAACAAATGGAGAATGTGTGTGGACTTTACCGACCTCAACAAAGCTTGTCCCAAAGATAGCTATCTCATTCCTCTAATCTATCAGCTGGTCCACGAGAGTGCAGGACATAAATTACTTAGCTTCATGGACGCCTTCTTCAGCTATAACCAAAATTTTATGGCAGAGCATGACTAAGAGAATACCTCCTTTATCATCGATCAGGGGGTTTATTGCTACAAAATGATGCCATTCAGACTAACCTATAGATCAGACCTTGATGAGACCTTCACTACTCTTCGATGCTACCACATGAAGCTCAATCTAGTCAAGTGAGCCTTTGGGGGTGTGATCAGGAAAGTTCGTGGGGTTCATGATAACACAGAGAGGCATTAAGATTAACCTAAAAAAGATAGTCGTCATATAGCGACTACCCGAACCACGCACGTTGAAGGACATCCAGAAGCTGAATGGAAAGATAGCGGTGTTGGGTTGATTCCTCTTCAAATCTACCGAGAGGAGCCTCATATTCTTCAAAACTGTTTGTAGGAAATTGAAGAAGAAATGAGAATAAAATTATGTATTTATCTCTCTAACTGACTTAGAAAAAGAATGAATACAATCTCTCTTTACAATCTCTTTCTAATTGATTTAGAAAAAGAAATTACAACTCTTCTATATCGGTTTCCCGATTTACAAAAGAAAGAAATAATTGACGGAGATCATTCCCTTTATTTAAACCTGGGTTCTTCTTGGTGTCGATGAGTGTTTGATTCTTGTATCCCGTTGACGATCCGATCGCTTTGACTTGTAGAACACAGTCTATTTCTCTTGAATTGACGTTGAGGAGAACTTGCGAGGCAAGTTTAAAACTCTTAACGAGTTAATAACTCTTAGCAAGTTTAAAACTCTGTAAAAGAGTTAATTTGAAAAAGATGATTAATCCTTTTTTGATTTAACCAAAGTCGGTTTTCAAGCCAAGACTAAGACTCCAAAGATCTGATCTAAAAGATGCTCAAA